TGCTGAGGGACTAAAAGCCGTAAACCAGCCAGTGAACATGAAAGGCAAGGAGGCCCAGCAAAACCAGGAGAAAGAGAAAGTTCAAGGGTCACCCAGAGGCAAAACTGGGTCATTACAATCACCGTGACCCTGGAAATACTTAATTTTCAAAGGCTCCATAAAAACCCACCATTAAACTCTAGAGTTTCAGTTTATTTCTCTGTTTAGTATTTATAGTAACTAAAATCTTTGTAGCAGCTAAATCTGGGAAGCTGCATTATACAGCGTCCATGTTTGTGCTGGCAATGAGCTAGCTTTAGAGCTGATATAAAAATAGGAGCTTATTCTCCAGCCTTCCCTCTGCAACCTTCAGGCTACAAACTGCTTGCCTTTCTCTCTGCCTGCTAGTTGGAATGGCAATAGACATTTTAATATAGTAAATCTGAACTAAGCCTTGTGCTTTAGCTTAAAGCTTATTTCCTTAAAGAATTTGTTGGAGGATTGTCAGGGCTGCTAGATTTAGCAAATAAAAACAAAAGATGTACAATTAAATTTGAGTTTCAGATAAACAACAAATAACGTTTCAGTATAAATATGTTCCAAATATTTCATGCGACATACATAGATTAAAACATTATTCGTTGTTCATCTGAAATTCAAATTTAACTGGGCATTCTGTATTTCATCTGACAATCTTAGCTGAAGGAGATAATCTCCTAGGTTGCTTCCAGCCTGAAAAAGCAGGATTATCTAGCTGAAGTTTCCAAGGCAAGGTCCCACTTGAGGAAGCTATGGCAGAGATTTAATTTCACAGTAGGGTATGAACAAAAATTTGCCTAATCATAGCAAGGCCTTAGTAGGTCTTTCTTAAATGGGAACGAAGAATAAAAAAGATAAATTTAGTAAGTTGCACGTATATATATCATTTGCTCATTGAACTGTGTTTTCATCAAGGACTATACCATTATGAGGTGAAGGGTTGTTTCAAAATAATATCTAGAATCATGCTCACATAAAATTGCAAATTTTAGAAGTAGAAATGCCAAAATACATAAGGCATAATACATACACATGTGTGTGCTGTGCACTCCATGCATTTACTCAGGCACAAGCGCCACATGGCACACAAGGCATGCCTCTTCCAGGTGTTTCCATTTGACGACCTTGCTGGCATTGTGCCAAGGCCTTGTCAATTTGAGTCAAATTTTAGTCAAAGGCTACCTGGTGGCAGAAAGGTACATTAAAGGACAATAGGATGAAACACAGATTGCAAGGGTGAATGAGTAGGAGAAAATACTCCTCAGATAATTTTTTTAAAAGGGAAGATGGGTTCGGGGCAGAGAAGATAGACGTAAATGATAACGCATTATAGATCCAAAGACAGCCTTGGACTTTGGTCAGCTCTAGTGGAGTCAGGGTCATAGTAAATACAAGACATCCAGGAGAACTGAGGTTAAAATAATCTCAGCAGAAGCTCCGTACCAACAAAAGCCAAACAAGGTATAGCTTTTGTTGCTGACAGGCTGAAAGAAGCACAGCAACAAGAATCTCGGTGGTTTCGTTCTGTTGCATCAGATCAGGAGCCATCCTCTGCATTCATTCATTCCACTTCTAGTATGGCCAGGCCATGATCTCTGCCTGCACCCATCATGCAGTATTGTTCTAATTAAATATATGAAACCTGTTTCATAGTCACACTGTCATGAAGCTTTGTTTAGCAATACATACTATCTCCCATGCAAACCAATACGTGGAATAGAATAGCAGCATTTCCGTCTGGCTGCTAAGAAGATAACTTCAGGCACACTGGGAGAGTGGGGACTGGGGAGCTTGCTTACTACTGTATCAGCAGCACCAGGAACCATGTCGGGCACATAGTAGGCAATCAAAAAGTAGTGGTACATGCCGCAGAGCGGCTGGGCCCATGAGCCATGGCCGCTGAGCCTGCGCATCGGAGGCTGTGCTCCGCAACGGGAGAGGCCACAACAGTGAGCCACAAAAATAGTGGTAGAGGGAGAGTGGCACCAGCTGGTCTACTCCAGTCAGAAAATTTATTATTCTTTAGGAAATTTATATATTTTTCTAAACCAGAGAGGCATTGTGGTCCTAAACACATTCCAAATAGAAAAAAAAAAATTAAACATCTTGTTAGTGAAAAAGTTTCACTTCCAAACACAAAGAAAAGCAGCTTAAATGCGAGTGTCAAATGTCTTTAGGAGTCTCCTTACAGCCGTGCACTAATAATAGTGAAAAGGAATTGGATTTTCAGAAAAAAAGAAAGATGGTTTTCAAAGGGAGAAAAAGAATGTTCTACTCTTTCAACCAATAGTAGACAATTTATAGGTTTCAAAGCGACCTTCTTATTCCAAACACCCATCTGGACAGCTGGAGAGAAGACTGTAGTCACAAAGGGAAACAAATAGTGCAAACCATAAAGGAAACAGCTGAAATCAGTTTTCTGCACTACTCTTGATTAACTACTTTCCAGTTCTAAGAGCCTGAAGCAAAAAGAACTAAAACAGCTATAAACAATGGATGCTTTGAAATAGGTTCTCTTTACATGTCTTGCAAGAGATGAACCACATGTCAGCAGTAAATATCCACTCAGAGGGTCAACTGGAAGCTGTGACCATCTCTGGGGGAGGGGCAAGAGAGCCAGAAAAGGAAGGGCAAGGGTGCAAGGCTCTGGCTCAGAGGGTCTGATGCATTTCTTTAATACAGACCCTCCGCCCTCAGGGTGTTTGCTAGTTAAACAACTGAGGTTGTTTGGATTTAAGCCAAAAGAGGGTTGGAGTAGGAGGAGGGTATGGGGGAGAAGTAGGTTTCCGATCTGAAAAAGGAGAGCTCACAGTCGGTGCTAAATGAGAAAGACATGGCGCTTGAGTAAACTTGTAAAAGACAGCCGCCAGGATTATGTCTGTGGCGGGAAAAAGGAGGTGTGTGAGCTGGGGGCAGGGAAGAGACCCCTGTCAGGATCTGGCTAATCTGCCCCCAGGACCCATTCATTGTATCAGGCAGCAGAAGTGTGGGTCCGATCCAGCCTGCCTAGAAACTGAATGAAAGTGTTAAAATAATGGGACATGTGGCAGATGAAAGTGTGCAAGACAGACAACAGCCATATCATTTTCTGGGGCAGCAGAGAAGAGAGAAAAATCTCTGGGAGAGAGGCCGGAAGTTCTTCCTTCCTCTCTCCCACTCCCACCCCTCCCAGCCACTGGCCTTGGGGAGAAAGAAGAATAAAAAGGAAAGCTTTTGTCAGAGATCAAAAAACTGACTCCTATTAGATTCACTTTCACTTTGGGGACTGGTTGGGTTTGCTCACCAAGTAATTAGCAGAATGAGTGTCTGGTAAAAGTGGGGGGCAGGGTAAAGGAGCTAGTTAACTCTTCCTGGCCACTAGGATTCTTTTAGTAAATTATTACAATGCGTAAAGGGGTGCCCTAGTGATCTGAAAGAATCCAGGGCTTGGTCTCTAGTAATAATTTACAGACTAAAAAAAAAATGTGACCGAATAAGAAAGGTCACTTACTTTAAAAACAAGTACTAAAACATAGCTATAATGAATGTAAGAAAAAGAAAGGAAGACATTATACGTATACTGTTTGATCAGGCTTACAACGTCACATTTTCCTTAATTTTTTTTTTTTTTTTTAGTAAAATAATAATTTTGTAATATGAAGGGAGAAGTAAGAGACTCGCTAACAAGCTGAGCCTTCAAACTGGAAAAGGCATGAAGGAGAAACACAAGAGTAAAAAATTGCATTTTGTGAAGGCCACAAAAGGAGGAATCCTGGGAAAGAAAACAAACAAACATCCGAGATGTTGCTTCCTGGCAAGAGCAAAGTTCAATATAATGTTGGAAAGCACGCAGAAACCTCTTAGGCATCTAGTTGAAAGGTTGGAAAATCACCTTTGGTTGAATAATTCTGCTCTGTTTCCATTGTTTTTCAAAAGCTATGTTTACAAAATTAAAATTATGCCTTAAGATGTCAGTTCTTCTTGCTACTTTCTCTACTTTCATACTTATCAATGATAATGTAATAAAGTGGAAAATAGGCCGTGTGCGTGTGTGCGCACACACACACCTCACATAGAAGTATTCTTAAAAGATCTTCAGGAAATGGACTATGAAGACCAATCAATAATACTTCTAGGGCTTCCCTGGTGGCGCAGTGGTTGAGAGTCCGCCTGCCGATGCAGGGGACACGGGTTCGTGCCCCGGTCCGGGAAGATACCACATGCCGCGGAGCGGCTAGGCCCGTGAGCCATGGCCGCTGAGCCTGCGCGTCCGGAGCCTGTGCTCCGCAACGGGAGAGGCCACAACAGTGAGAGGCCCGCGTACCGCAAAAAAGTAATAATAATAAAATAAAAAATAATAATACTTCTACTATTGGAAGAATTTTCCTGTTGAAATAGAAAAATGTTTGGTCTGAAGAAGGCTGAAAGAGTCAGGGCCTTTTACCTGTATAAGTCTCGTGCCACATCGTCCTCATCCACTGCATATCCCTGGAGATGTTCAGTAAAACTGAAGCCTGTGCCCACCTGAAGGTGAAATAAATAAGCAGGTATAAACACAGAGAAACACATGTCCTGCTGAGATATACCACATGGGAAGAAAATCAATCTTATTCCAAAGGCCATGACTTTGACCTCAGATTTTTGCCATCACCCATATGCACTCAAGCCATCCTCACAGGAGGATGCTGCATGTCACCTATGTCCCCCTTCCCTCCTCCAAGCCCAAACAAAATAGCAGCGCAAAGCTCTGCCCTGAAGTCAGTGACTGAGCTGTTCTGATCCTGCAGTGGGGACCCTGCCAGATGTTGCTTTAAGAACAAGAAATTCACCTTTCCTGGCTCCTGCTACAGTATCAAAAGACCCCAAGTTGTCTCCTCTCTGAAACCTGGAGGGTGCACTGCTCTGCCTGCTAAGAAGGAACTTAGGCTGGAGATAAAAGATAGTTTTGTGTGTGTGTGTGTGTGTGTGTGTGTGTGTGTGTGTGTGTGTGTGTATGTAGTTATTTTTTCCCATTTCTTTATTTATGGGAAATACGGCCACTAAGCCCTTTCACCTTCAGCAGACAGGGGGCTTTAAAATAAAGATTAGCTTTAAACTAATATTTCCTTATACCTAGAAGTTCATGGACAACTGAGCTGTAAATCGATAGAAGCAGCTACTACTTATTTTGGGTCAATAATATACATAAGGAAGGCACCCCCTCCACACACACCAGTTGTAAATATTTTTGCTTTTGTTTTTTCTCCAAACACCCAAGAGAACAGGACATTTAATTAAACTTTTATTTAAATATGGTATTATAGGCTAGGAAAAAGGATGGTTGACAAAACACGGGGGAGGGCAAGAATGTTGGACTTTTTTCTCCCTATTTTTCTGTTTTATCTTTGAACCATCTGGGATATGAAAGAAGTTAGAGGAATTAGTTAGAGGACAAAGAAGATACTCCCAATCTGCAGAAGCTGACCCTAAAGTTACTTTCCTATACTGCAGTTTATAGGATTTCATTTCATAAGAACTTCCCAAGGAGAATTCCACCTTTTGCTCCCCCTGAGATGAGGCATTCTGTTCACTGTGATAAGTGATGGGGGCCAGTTTTGACTTTTTATATCTAGAACTCAGTCTGAAATATTAGGACTTACCATACTATATAATAACCCATGCTACAGCGAAACCCATATCATCAGCAGAAAGAAACTAATCCCTTATCCTGGATGGTATAATTCAGTGATCAGGACATTTTATAAGATTAGAAATGAGGGAAGGAGAGAAGGCAGCAAGTAAAACTCCCAAACTTGGATGTAATGATACATGTTAGAAAAGTTAAATTTCAAGTGTGTTCTTTAAATAGACAATTATATTTTAAAAAGAAAAAAATTAAATCTGTATTTTTTTCTATTTCTTAAATGTACTTAATGAAAGAAAAAAGACAAGAGAGACCAACACTGCCATTTCACAGGACCCTGGGGATACTCACTGGATTATCAATGTAGAGCATGGAAAATACAGTGGTCCAAGGAAAGTCTCTGGCACGCACTAGTAAAGCAGAGAAGAGGTTTTAGACCGGGTCATTAATAAAACATCCCATCTAATGCCTAGCTCTGGTTAGGAGCCCAACATGCCCACCTGTCCCCTCCAGGTCAGCGACCCTTGGTGTCCCTCTGATGTTGCATTATACTCTCATAGTAGGGAACGGATACCAGCACCTTTTTCTTCTCCCCTCCTCTCCTTTACTTTTCCCAGAACCAGAGAGTTTCTACATCTAAGATGAACTTAGGAAACAAAACCCCGTGCAACTGGTTCATGCAGAAACACCCATCAACCAGGGATGCAATAAACCCATCTGTCCAATTGGGTGGATCATCCTTAATGTCCAATTCTCCAGAATCTGCTTCCTCCCATCCAATGCTGAAGAGAACCACAGCTTCAACAGAATTGTGTACATGAATATACTGAGTCACAAACTGGTTCACCCTCCAAATTCTGACCCAGGGAAAGTAAACAGTCTCCCCTCCCCACCAAAAAAATGAGATGGAGGTAAACCTGGGTTAGAGCTGGAGGTGGTTCCTTCTCCATTCCTTCCTTCATGCCAGCCCCAGCCCTCAGTATCTTGCTTCCAAGATATCCGATCATTCATGTGACTGAACTGTACAGTGTTCAGTTCATGTGAATAACTAGGGATATAATTCCACCCATTTGTCCTACGCAAAAGGGCTTACCCAAATAGTAATAAATACCAACTGTTTTCATAAGCCCGGATTGCTTGAGTCAGCAGCAGACTGGCAGAACAAAGCTTGGAACCTTTCACCCAAATTTTAAGGGAGAAAGCAGCCCAGCCAGGACACGCACCCTGGTGGCTCCTCCTTCTTGGACAAACATTGCCAGAAAGTTATGTTTTTATAATCTGGAACTGTAAAGCTATTACTAGTGGCTCACTGTTCACTCTAAGTTATTTCTAGAGCAGATAGAAGGTTCAAATGAAGAACTCTCCATGGGAAAACAGAGTCCAAGCAGCACTTACCGGTCGTGTTTCTTGTGACAATATAAGGTCCGTGTTCCACAAAGAGTCCAAACATGGATGAGCCTCCCGGCCCGCCCTGCAGCCAGAGGACGACTGGAGCATTCCACGGCTCTATCTAGAAGGGACAAAGAACCCAGTGACTACATAGAGTGCTAAGGCTGCAGAATACATCCAAGCAAATTTACCCCAATCCTCCGTCTTTCACAGCCTTGACTCATCTAAGTCTCATCAAGCCTTCCCAGACCCCAGTGACCACTCTCCACTGTCATCTCTTGTTGTTTTGATTTAGTATTTGTTTCATATGCCGGTATCTATCTTGTGCAGTTAAGTCTTTTCTCACTAATAGCCAGAAAAGCCATAGATTGTATAAGCTTAGCCTTTGTGTGCCCCTAGACACCCAGCATACTGCCTAGGGCACGGTTAGATTTTTTTAAAGCTCTTTAAACTTTCTGGGGACTCTTCCATTTGACCAACATATTCCCAAAGAGGCACAACAAAGAATCCATCCTCCTCAGTGACAATTTTCCCCTTTCACTGAGAGCCCAAACTGCCTTTCTGATTTTATTTACAGAGATAACAGGAACTTCATTCAACATGATGAAACTGAGAACAGAGACAGGCCCTGAGTCATCTAGTTCATGCAAACAATAGCAACAAAACCCTGAACAAGGTATGGATTTATTTAGGAGATGTGGCTGATGTAGATAAGGAAGGGTTGGGATGCTGGATATGAGCCACTGGTAGTGGTCAACACCATCACCCCTGATGACAGAGCGGTCTTTACTTCTTTCACGCAGCACCTCGCAGGGGTTGGCACCACGCTAGGAGGAGGTCCTGGCAGAGCAGTGAGTGAAAAAGACAATTCCTTGCCCTCTTCAAGCTGACATTTCATTGGAAATACTGACAGTAAATAAATGAATAAATACAAGGATTAAAGAGTGTGGAGAGGAAATAAGGGTGATGTTAAAAGAGCGAGTGAGGGCAAAGAAAGAGGCATTTCCTTTGGACACAGTGATCAGGGAAGTTCTCAGTGAGATCCTGAGAGTGAAATTGAGACGTGGAAGCTGAGAAGGATCCAGCCACAAGGAGAGCCAGGGAACGATGCTGTAGATGGAAGAAATCCTCAAGACAGAGAAGAACTGGGTGGGAGAGCAGTGAGCATGGAGGTTGCCTGGTCCTACATGAAGCCTTGGGAGCAATCTGAAAGAAGCTCCACTTGGTCTCCACAAGGCTCAGAGCAGAACCTGATAGTGAGTCCTCATTGGATGTCATGGTTCATCTGATGTGCAGTCGGTCAGGTCTGGCAAGAAAGGATCCTACTGCTTCAGCCCAGAATGAAATCCTGCAACCTCTTACTTAGCCCAGTCACACAGAGACAAATCAGTGTTGCAGTAGAAGGTCAAAGTGGATTGGCTCATCCACCTGGATGATGTGAGAAGGCTGTGGGCAGAAGGCAAGATGAACTCAAGGGGAGGGGATCTGGGACCCACAGCCAAGAACCTGGAAGAAGAGCTGATCTTACAGGGTTCTAACCATGAAAACAGCAGGGACAGAGGGATTTCTCTTATCTAGTCACCAAATATCTACAGAGTCCTTTGGCAGCTTTGGGAAGGGGCCAAGGGAGCGGGCTGAAAGAGTGGCAGCGGTCAGAACAGCTGTGAGCTGAAGAGCCTCCCTAGGAGGGGCCACCTGGGATCCACTCTCCAGTGTTAAGGAATTAAATGAGATAATATAATATTTGTAAAGCCCTTGGAGCAAAACCTACTGCATGATAAAAAGCGCATTAAGCACGAATGATTATTATTATTATTATTTTTTTTTTTTCTTGCGTTATGCGGGCCTCTCACTGTTGTGGCCTCTCCCATCTGCGGAGCACAGGCTCCGGACGCGCAGGCTCAGTGGCCATGGCTCACGGGCCCAGCCGCTCCGCGGC